GGGGCTCAGAAGAAAAACTACCCAAACCCTAATCAGGACTGCCTAACAACTACCAAGGCCTTATTTCCCGCAATGTTTAAGGGAAGCAATTCCAACAGTCAGCACCCTTGAGAAACAAAGCTCATCTTTTATTATTTACTTCAGAAATGTGTGCAGTGGAAGTTCTCAGATTTAATTAATTCATTACAACATTTATTTAAACATTTCTAGACTGCCGCTAAGGGCAAATCCCTCTCCAATGCCGCTTGGCTGATTTACAAAAGTGTACAGGGTATCTGCCCATTGCCCTGCCTGTTTCAAGTTGCCCTTCTTTTGCCTGCCTGTTTTGGCTGGTAATATCCACATTAGCTACTGCGGTTCATTACCATACACGAGGCTCCTGGAAGAGCCTTCAGCCACTTTGCCTGACTGGCACTTGGGTCAACAGGTGGAAGCATTTTCTAACTGGAACCCATCTCCAGGTCTCCTGGCTGAGGGCTCTCAGATGTTCTGTTTTGTCAAAGGTACTTTCAAGTGGATTCCTGCTTGATGGACTCCTCTCAGCTCTGTGATTCTAGGATACCCTGTCCTCTCTTTGTGGGAGAGTCGGGATGGCCACTTTCCCGGGACCTGATTTCAGGGGATTTTCTGCACTGACAGGGGATGGGATCACACACTCTTTGAAGACCCTTCCAATTCTCTTCTCTCACTCAAGACTCCTTATTTCTTGGGACTAGAAAGGCTTCTGCTGATAGTCATGTCCAGCAGCGCTTACAAGACCAGACTTGGGCAATGCCCTGTGCTGAGATGTTGTTTCACCACCTGGGATAAGGTTGTGCTACTTTCCAGGAACCCTTCCTCTAATCCTCGTGGATTAGTTTTCCTGGGAGTCTGAAGGAACAATGCACTCCAGCCTTTGCCAATGGTTGGAACTGCTACTTGTGCTTTTTCTCAGGAGCTCACTGTCTTAACTTGCGTAACTGCAAAGGTTATTAATGCAAATCAGACGCATTTAATTAAGCTCAGCTTCCGCTGCCAACAGGAATGAAAGCAGTTAATCAAACAGGAGGAAAGCAGAAGATCTGAACCAGACAGCAAGCTGCTCATTACAGTGTCAAGTCTCCCAGAGAAGGAAATAGGGAACCTGGACATTTCCTTCCATTGGCCAATGGCTGTCCACCTGCTGCTGTTGCTGCTGCTGCTTGCCTGCTGGTGGCAGGAACATGAGCTCTGCCAAGCAGGGGATGCTCTGCTGCTTCAGCAAACCTGACTCTAAGCCCACATGGAAAGGAATTCTGCCATCCCACCAAAGCCAGAGGCTCTGGTGCTTCTGATGTCCTCTGCAAGCTGCTTATGGGAGACATGCTGGAGCTTATGCATGCATGTATTGGTGAGGTAGGCTAGGCTGAAAAGAGTGGCTGGCCCAAAGTCCTCCAGGGAGCTTCTATAGCTGAGGGTGAACTTGAAGCTGGCTCTTTCCTGTCTCTTGGTGAGCAATAAAGCAATTTAACTCTCTTTCTTAAGTCCTTGAAGTTTCTGCTGCTACAGAGTAGAGTTTCTGGAGACCTGAAATTCCTTAACTTGCCTTGGAGAGAAGTCTGACCCCAGGGCCCACATGAAACTTGGAGAACCCTCAGGGACAAAGATATGCAAACGTTCTGAAAGGGGGCAGATACTCCTCCACAGACTATATTTCTGCAGACTCACACAGCCCTGCCTGAGGGTTGACTGGTTCAGGATATGAGAGGGCAGAGCTATGTTGGAACTGCATCCTGTCCAAAAGGGATCCAGCAACTGCAGAAGCAGGGGAGGGAGAGTGATGAGCAGCTAAGATCCCCTCCCTCTTTTTCAGAACTCCATAAGTTGGGCTTCTCAGCCATTTTGCATGGCAAGGAGCATTGCCTGCCTCATGGAATCAGTTGCATCATCGTAGCAATTACACGCTGAGGTACCCATAGTTGCTGGCCTCTAGTTCTGGCCCCAAAGCTCATACGTTGACCTGTCTCCTCCAGCCTCAGTGCCACATCTCAGCACCAGCTGGGTCTTCCTCTCCTTTGTATCCTCTCTGCACAGCCTTTTTGCCTAGGGATTCCCAGGTGCACCAGGCATTTTCCTTGGGCTCCTAGGCTCAGCACACCCCCAGCTGTTTGACCTCCAGGAACATCT